AGGGGCTGCGGCTGATCGGAAGAGCTGTGCTGACTCACAGGCGGCGGGGCAGGCTCTGCCCGGCTGCGCTGGGGCTGGGGCGGCAGCGCAGGAGGGGCTCCCGGCGAGGGGTGGGGACGCCGCGCTTATCTGGAGCAGAAAAATCAAGGTCACAGGCGGAGCTAGCGGGAGAGGGCGGCAAGAACGTGCCGGGGGGGAGGAAAAGTTGGCCCCTTCAGCGTCGGGGGGGGTGAAACTCCCACCTGTGGATCAGGGGGCTCAGGGGCAGCTCTCCCCTGCTGTCATACCCTCGGCGCACTCGCACGCAGCAGGAACTCGGGCCAGCCCGACTGTGCTGCCCTCCACAGCCCTGGCCCCACTGAGGGATGAGAGTTCCCCCCATCCCCTCTAGGATGGGGCAAGGAGTTCAGACAGAACCCGAGATCACAAGCCAGATCCTTAGGAACCGCCAGATGCTCTGTCCACAAACCAAAACTTGGTAAATCCAGGCCAAGGAAAAGGCTCTCCCTGCTTGGAGCCTTCCCCCAGCACTGCTTGGCACCGGCAGCTGCCTGCCCCACTTCACAAAGCCTGGCACACTGCCATGGGGACAGGGACAGCCACCACAGGGCTGGAAATTGCCACCTCTGTGATGTGAGGGCCTGTAGCACACATGAGTGGGGCCGTCACTGAAGCAGCTCCTTGGTCAAGCCCCCCCACCTCAGCCACGGCGGTCCCACAGGCACAGAAAGCCTGGCACAATGCCATGGGGACAGGGAAAGCCACCACAGGGCTGGAAATTGCCCCATGTGATTCGAGGGGCTGTGGCACCATGTGAGCCTGTTATTGAAGCATCTCCTTGGCCATGCACACCAGCTCTGTCCAGGCCAGCCTCCCCAGCTCAGCCACGGTGGTCCTACAGGCACAGAGAGCCTGGCACACTGCCATGGGGACAGGGAAAGCCACCACAGGGCTGGAAATTGCCACCTCCGTGATGTGAGGGGCTGTGGCACCATGGGAACCTGTCATTGAAGCATCTCCTTGGCCATGCCTCCCCAGCTCAGCCACGGTGGTCCCACAGGCATAGAAAGCCTGGCACACTGCCATGGGGACAGGGAAAGCCACCACAGGGCTGGAAATTGCCACCTCTGTGATGTGAGAGGCTGTGGCACACGAGTGGGGCCATCACTGAAGCAGCTCCTTGGTCAAGCCTCCCCAGCTCAGCCACCTGGTCCCACAGGCACAGGGAGCCCGTGCTGGCTGTTCCACACCGCCTGTCCCCTCCAGGGGCCCCTGGCTGCTCAGTCAGAGCTGTGACCTTCCTGTGGCCGCAGCAGCACTCCTCTAAAGAAAAGCAGGAAGCCCGGAGGCAGGAAGCTGCTGGCCCGGTGAGGGGCCAGTGCAGCCCTGCTGCCAGGGGAGCCTGATGGGCAGCACCAAGGGGCCACAGAGCAGTGGGATCTGCCCATGATGGGCAAAATGGTTGATGTGGGCCTGGGCTTGCCTGGCACAGCAGCTCTGTGAAGCCTGATGCTTCCCAGAATGAGAGCAGGAGGGAATTCCAAGGGGGCAGGAGGGTCTCCTTGGCCCCTTTGCCATCACCTCCAGGCAGCAAAGGGCTCATGAGCCTCCCAGATGAAGCTCCTGCTCAGACACATTGTTGCAGCCATCTTTTATGAAAAATCCTTAGGATTTTCCCTCCTGAGAAGCTGAGAGGCCTCAGGAACAAAATGTAAACAATGGTTATCTGCTGCTGTGGAATGCAACAGGTGGATCTTTGATTAGCTCATCTTAGATTGTAATTAATGGCCAATCACAGTCAGCTGGCTCAGACAGAGAGCCAAGCCACAAACCTTTGTTATAATTTTCTTTCCTATTCTATTCTTAGCCAGCCTTCTGATGAAACCTTTTCTTCTATTCTTTTGGCATAGTTTTAATGTAATATATACCATAAAATAACAAATCAAGCCTTCTAAAACATGGAGTCAGATCCTTGTCTCTTCCCCAATCCAAAACCCCCTGTGAACACCGTCACAGACACATCTCTGCTTTTATTAGCTAGAGTAATTCCTGATTCTCTCAGAACCTTCGAGGCCAGTCTGTAACAGCCTGTTACAAGATGCATGGCAGCTCTTGGGGACCAGAGGTGCTGCCATCACAGCCCCCCAGCCCCATCAGAGCTATATTACATCAGAGCTGCCCCTCAGCGGGCTCTGAGTGCACAAGGCAAACCTGGAGATGTGCAAAGGCACAGAACACCAGCCCTGCCTCAACAGGCAGTCCCAAAACCCATCCCCAGGCTGCAGCCCTGCCCCTTGCCAGGCAGATGCCAGGAGCTCCTGCCCCTGCAGCAGAGCAGCTGGAACAACTGCCCCCAAGGAGCTCTGGGGACATGTCCTGCTCCATGTGCCCTGCCACCACAGAAAGATCTGGATCATGAGGAACAGAGGGATGTGGATCACTTTCAGGCACCTGAGACTGGGCATTCACACAGCAGCTGGGCAAGGAAGAGAAGCAGAGTGGGGATGCTCAGGGCTCTGCTATCAACATCCTCCCTGGGAAAAAACTGGGAGCCGAGTCAGAGGCCAGGAACACACCAGTGGTTTGGCAAGAAATCACAGCAAGGTGCAGGAGGCCACACATACAAACCTCACACTGGGCAGGAGACCCCCTCTGTCCAATGCTGAACCTCTGAGGCAGGGGGGAAGCAAAGAAGAACACTCAGATCCAGCCAACAGCTGATTTTTCCCCCACGCATCACAGCAGCATCGAACAACATTTACTCTCCTTCACTCTGAAAAGGGGTTAGGAGATCCCAGTGCAGATGTGGGGAAGAGGCTGGAGACCTCCCAGGAGGCAGAGGAGGCAGGCAGGATCCACCACCGAAGCCACTGAGCCCTCCACCGAGGTCCTTACCACATACTCCATCGGCGGCGGAGGGCAGGGCAGGCCCCGGGCGGGGAGCAGACACAGAGCCCCTCTCGTCTGGCACTCCAACCTGTGGTTCAGGGACAAACAGGGAGTTAGGCAGCCCTGCCCCAGCCTGCTGAGCTGGCCATGGTGCCAAGAGGCAGACCCTGCTCCTCCATGCTGTCCACAGGTGGTTGGGGTTGAGGTTGCCGTGCCACGCTGCTGGCACAAAGAGTAGGAGAAACCTGGAATCTTGCCATTGGGAAGAAGATGGAGATGGGATGTGCTGGGACAGGAGCACCAGGCTGAGCCTGGCACTGCTTGGTTCAGATGGTATTGGGGGCCTAGAGTCACTCTGTGACCCTGTCTAGCCCAAAAATTAGTACAGGAAAGCCACACGCAAGGGAGAGCAAAGGCAACCAGGGGGGCAGAGCTGCCCTCTCCTGCACCCCTTCAGCTGGCACCCTGATGCAAAACTATACACAGAGCTCCCAGGGCTGCGTCCCTTCCTCCCAGGGGACCAGTGAAGACAAAAGTCATGGAAAGAGTCTACAAGGGGTGAGCTGGCAGAGGCAGGAAGCTCTGTGAGGTGAAAACAAGGCAAGGAAAGCACTCTTCTCACTCCTGTCATTGCCACTGCCCAGCCGAGGCTGGTGGAGCAGGGCAGGGCAGCAGCCATGATTTACTGCCTGGCAGCACTTGTACCTTTATCTGCCTGTGCCAGCTGCCACCAGCAGCTCGGAAAGCAGCGAGATAAGGAGGGCTGTACTTGGCCATGGCTGTGCAGATTGACCCCTGCAGCACCACGACACTGCCAAGCAGAGGTGGTGACCAGGACACCGAGGCTGGTGGCAGGGAAGGAGCACCTGGACCCAGAGCCAGAGTGCTCAGCCTTACCAAAGGCCATTTGTGTCCCTCCCGAGGATGGAACACTGCTTTGCACAGCTCCAGAGCGGATTCCCCCACCAAAGAGCAGCAGGTGGATCCTCAAGCCCTGCTTGGCAGAGAGGAGATGGCATCTTCAGCCCCTCTGGTACAGGCTGGCAAGCCCGGAAAAGAAGTGCCCTTTGCCCACAGACTTCTGCAGCGCCAACGTGGCAAGCAGGGCCCAGGTCACCTCTCCCTGGAAGCCGTGTCCGTGGTCTACACTCTGTGTGGGTGACCCCATCTAAGAGATTCAAGGGGAGCAGCAAGAACAGATGGGCACAACACATCTCCAAGGGGGAGCAGCTCCACAGCAGCCGGGTACGCTCCAGGTGCTCGCTGCTGCCTTGCTCCGAGGCACAGAGGGCGGGAGGGCAGCGCCCAGCACCGCAAGAACGAGGAACCCTCCAAGCCCAGCCGGGCCCCGTCCCTGCCGGAGGTCGTGCCAGGCTCGGGGCTGTGCCCGGACCGTGCAGCGCCTCCACAGCCGGTGCTCTTCCCGTGCACCGCGGCACGGGCAGCAGCCGCCACACCGGGTGGGTCACCCCCGGTCTCAGCACGGCGCGGCACCGGCTCCTCCGCCCCCTGGTCCGGGCCTGCCCCACACCGGGCGAACGAGGCAGCTGCGAAGGGCGGCTCGGCCCTCACAGCACGGGCAGCGGCGGCGGCGGTAGAACCCCCCACAACTCGTTCCGCGGAAAGCGGCGGCGGCGAAGCGGCGGCGAGCGGTGCGGCCTCAGTCCGGCGACACAGCGGCCGCGGGGAGGGCACGGCGGGGCCTGGCCCGGAGTCCCGGGCCTTTAACGCGGGTCCCCCCACCCCTTCCTCCGTCCGCGCTCCCTCACCGCCCCGGCCGGCGCGCGCTCACCGGGCACCATCGGTCATGCGCGGGCCTCGCTCTCCGCCGCTCACCCCCCCCCCCCCCCCCACCGCCGCCACTCACTTCCGGCCCGCGCCCCTCCGGCATGGGCCCCGCCGCGCCCGCGCCACGTGACCCCCACGACAGCCAATCATCAGCCGCACCCGGCCCGCGGGAAGCGGCGCGGCAACCCCGCCGCCTCGCGCGCGCGCTGGCCAATGGGCAGCCGTTCCGCCCCGCCCCCGGCGCGGCGCTGGCCAATGGGAGCGCGAGGCGGCGGTGTTTGAAAGCGCCGCGGGGGGGGCGGGGGGCGCCAACGGCCGCCGAGGGAGGGCACGGTGGGCCTGTCCCGTCATGGCGCACAAACAGATCTACTACTCGGACAAGTACGACGATGAGGAGTTTGAGTACCGGTAAGGAGCGGGGAAGGGGTGCCGGTAATACCCGCTTGATAAGGATGTGGGGATCTCGGTTAAGGTTTGCTGCGGTGAGGGAGGGAAATGCTTCGGTAGTGTAGGATTAACGGCTCGCGAGTGGGAGGGGAGCGGGGGGCGAGTCTCTGATGAGGCAAGAGGGGAATTATTCTGGCAACTCGGGGGGTCCCCGTGAGGGTTCTGTATGGGGTCACGGCGCTGGTACCGGAAACAGCTCTCCGGTGGGGAATGAGGGGGTGTCGGGGGTGCCCCGGTGTTGACTGAGAGGTGCGGGGCTGCAGGCACGTGATGCTGCCCAAGGACATTGCCAAGCTGGTGCCCAAGACCCACCTGCTGTCGGAGTCGGAGTGGCGGAACCTGGGCGTGCAGCAGAGCCAGGGCTGGGTGCACTACATGATCCACGAACCAGGTGAGCCCCGCGGGGGAGCGGGTGGCGCCCAGGCGGCCCGGCCTGACCCCCTCTTTTGCCCCGCAGAGCCCCACATCCTGCTCTTCCGACGGCCATTGCCCAAGAAGCCAGAAAAGTGAGTGGCCCCTGGTCTGCCGAAGCTCTCAGTCCTTCCACTCTGAAAAAACACCTTTCTCCTCCTTCTTCTCGGCATTTCTCGGGGGCTTCACCCCCTGACCCTCGACGCTGCCTGAGCGTCGTTTTGTCGGCTCGGCCCTGGTTCCGTGGGTCCTTCTCGTTGCGATGCCTCCAAAGCTTCAATAAAGTGATGTTTGGGAGCTGTCTGTCTGCAGTACCGGGGGCAGCTGGGCTGGAGGGCGAAGGGGTCCGGTCCCGTGGAGTTGGTCCCGCGGGGGTTCCCGAGGAGCCTGCCCGGGGTCTGGGGGAGCCTCCCCGGGCTCACCGGAGAGGGCACGACTGTGGATGGAGCTACACCGATACCCCCCTTTCCTGGGCCCTGCGATGGTTCCGTCCCCGCAGGTCCCGCCTCTCTGCCAATGGGATCTGGCGGGGCCGTGTGACTGACGTGCGGGCCTGCCTATGAGCGTGCGGGGCGGTGTCGCGGTGTGCGAAGGTGCCCGGGCGGCTCCATGTGGGGGGTGCTGCGCGCTGCGGGGAGGGTGCGCGGGCCCTTGCGCGCTGCCACCTGCCGCCTCATGGCCGCTTCGAGCCCGGCAACAGCGGTGACCCAGGGATCCGCCAGCACCGCCGGCATCATCATCATCGGCGACGAGATTCTCAAGGTGCGGCCGGGGACGGGCCTGGGCTGCGGGCATGGGGCGGGCTGGGGTGTGGGGTCGCTGCGCTCCGCTGTCATGGGCGTCTGCGGTCCCCTCAGGGCTACACGCAGGACACGAACTCGTCCTTCATGTGCCGGCGGCTGCGGGCGCTTGGCGTGAGCGTCGCCCGCATCTCCGTGGTGCCCGATGATGTGGAGGCCATCGCCAGCGAGGTGGCCGCCTTTGCTACTCGCTTCACCTACGTGCTGACCTCGGGCGGCATCGGCCCCACGCACGACGATGTGACCTTCGAGGCCGTGGCTAAAGCCTTTGGGGAGCGGGTCGTCCTCCATCCCGAGCTGGTGGCGCTGGTGCACAAGTTCTTTGGCAAGACGGAGGAGCAGTGCCCTGAGATGAAGCTGGCTCGCATCCCCGAGTCCTCCCGCCTCAACTACGGCACGGACGGGCACACGGGCAGCGCCTTCAAGTACCCGCTGGTCAGTGTGCGGAATGTGTACATCTTCCCCGGCATCCCGGCGCTGATGGAGCGGGCCCTGGATGGCCTCGCTCACCTCTTCCGCAGCAAACAGACCCATTTCCACTCCCGCACCGTCTATGTGGCGTCTGATGAGATGCTCATCACGCCGGTGCTGGATAGGGCTGATGCCGCCTTCCGGGGCCGTGTCAGCTTGGGGTCTTACCCAGACTGGACCAGCAATTACTACCGTGTGAAGCTGACCCTGGACTCAGAGTCAGAGCAGGACCTGGAGGAAGCGTTTGACTTCTTGATGAGGGAGCTGCCAGTGGGTGTTGCTGTGCCGTCGGTGACAGACTGTGTCTCTCCAGCAGCTGTGGAGGTTTATGGCCTGGCTGAGTCAGGTACTGGGAAGAGGTGCTGCAGCACAGCTCTGTGCTTCTCCTGTGCAGCCTAGCAGGGCTGGGGCAGTGGGAACACCAGCCTGGCAAAGCTTGCCTGTTGTGTGCTGGGAGGCTTGAGGCGTGCTGCAGCTGCAGTGGGGCTTCATCCCATACAGGTGGGAATGGGACCAGTCACCTCAGTTAGAGCTGGTGGTGGCAGGCTCTGAGAGCACAGTGTGCAGCAGTAGCTGCAGTGCCACAGTTCCCCCTGTCCTCATGATCCCTGTCACATTGTGGCCCAGGTCTCTGGGCTGAACAAGCTCTTGGCTGTGGTACCAGAGAGTGAAGTGCCCTGGGGCCGTTCTAAGGGAACATGAGCTGGGCAGGCACCAACTGTCCTGTCCTGGCAGGCTCGGCCCTGGGGCAGAAGGTGGCAGCAGCCCTGAGAACCATCGAGGAGGCTTTGGACCAGTACAGCTTGGACCAGCTCTGCGTGGGCTTCAACGGGGGCAAGGACTGCACAGCCCTGCTGCACCTCGTCCATGCTGCATTGCAGAGGTACCCACGCATGGGGCTCCAGGCTGGGGCAAGGCCCAGGGGTCCTGCAGACCCTGGCCAGGGCTCTGGGGCTCTTGCTTGCTCCACCCTGGGGGATGAGCAGATTCCTGGGCTCTAGCTGGTCGGATCTGGACGCTGCCTTGCCTCCATTTGCCACGGGTCAGAGTCCAGCTGCACTGGGTCTCTCTGCAGGCGGTTCCCAGGAAGGAAGGAGAAGCTGCAGGTGCTCTACATCCGCATTGTGTCCCCATTCCCTGAAATGGAGCAGTTCATTCAGGCAACAGTGCAGAGGTAGGAGGCACAGTGGGGCGGGCAGCTGCTCAGGGGCTGTGCAGTGCAGCCTGCAGCCAGCTGCCCACCCTGCCTGTGCAGGTACGGGGTCCAGCTCTGCACTGTGGAGGGCTCCATCCGGGAGGCCCTGGCACGGCTGAAGGAGCAGCAGCCCCAGCTGGAGGCTGTCCTGATGGGAACGCGGCGCACGGACCCCTACTCACGCACCCTGACCCCCATGTGTGCCACAGACCCCGACTGGCCCCCTTACATGCGGGTGAACCCCTTGCTGGTACGTGGTCTGTGAGCCCACCCTGCTGTGGGGCTGGAGCTGTCGCCACAGGGCCTGGCAGGGGGATCTGATGGGGCTGGGAGCCAGCAGTGATCCACCCCCATCCTGGACAGCTTCTCTCACAATTCTCACCCTCCCAGAGTATTTGGTGCCCCTCTGTGCAGCTGTGGGTGCCCCTTGCTGCAGTGGTGCTGCTGGGTGCTGTTGGGCAGGGCTCGTTCTTGCCTGCTGGGGGGTTACCCTGTGTTTGGGGAGGTGCTGGCAGGGCTAGTGGTGCTCTCATGACCATCTGGCTCTCCCAGGTGCTCTCTAGGAAGGTCTGGTTTGCTTCCCTGGGATTCAAGGGAGCAGCCTTTTGCCTCTGCCTCAATCCCTGCCCAATTCTGCCTGCAGGACTGGACCTACCGGGACATCTGGGAGTTCCTGCGCAAGCTCTTTGTCCCTTACTGTATCCTCTATGACAGGGGGTGAGTGCCCAGTGCTGCCCTTCTCACATGCACAGCCAGTGGCCCTGGCTGCAGTCCTGCAGCTGCTTCTTCCCTCCACAGCTACACATCCCTGGGGAGCATGACCAACACAAAGAAGAACCCAGCCCTGCGCTGCACCGATGCTCAGGGCCGGGAGAGCTACAGGCCTGCCTATGAGCTGGAAAACGAGGAAGAGGAGCGCACCTCCCGCCAGTGAAGGCCACGTTCTGGGAGCCTCCTCCCCTGGAATGCTGCTGGGAGTGACACTGAATAAAGCTGCTGCCTGTCAGCACTAAATAAACCTGCTGCAGTCTGCACTGCGCTGGCACGTGGTCTTGTTGAGCCCTGAGGGCTCCATGGGGCAGGAGTGGGAGGAACAAAAGGGTCCCCAGGTTGTGCCCTGTCCCTGCAGCCACTATTGTAGGAGGTTTGGAAATGCAGAGAATGTAGCAGGTTCCAGTGCTTGCCAGGGCCCCTCACGTCAGCACTGCTGCCTCTCCCACCGTGTCAGATCCTGCTGATTGCTCATGGGCCATGCACCTCCTCTGGAGCATGGCAGCCTGTCTGCAGGGTGCCCCCCAGCAGGTGGCATGGGTACAGGCCCTGGCACTGCCAGCACCCGCTGCCACCTCCCTGGGGCTGCGCCTGGGCTCCTGGTTGCTGCGGCTTCTGTGGAAATGCTTCTACTTCCTTCTCTGCAGCTGGTGCATCCGTGAGCTGCTGGACTAGGGAAGGAGCCTCCCAGTGTCCCAGGACCACGTCAGCCCCTGCCTGCCCTGGTGCTGTGGGTGAGTGACCTGCCTGCAGCTTGACTTGGCATAGTGCTTGGAATGTCACAGGGGCCTGGCTGTGGTGTTTGGGGGTGGCAGAAACCAGCCAAGGTGCTCCTGGAGTGAAAAGGGCCTGGCTGTGGTGTCTGAGGGGAGACAGCCTGGCTGTGGCAGTTCTGGGGGTTGAGAGGGTGTGGCCTTGGTACTGGTCAGTGCATTGTTACCCCCTTTGCCTCTCTCTCCTCCCCAGGACTGTCCTGTTGCCCTGAGCTGATGGACTTCTGGCGCTGAGACTCTGCTCCAGCCTGTGCTCCCCTGATCAGAGACCCCAATAAACCTGAGCAGTGCCTGACTGGCTGCATCTGTTTGGGCAGATCTCTGGCAATGTCTGTGTGTGTGTGTGTCCCCAAACCTCCTGATCCCAGCCCTGGGTAGCACTAAGGCACTCCAGCACACCCCTTGCCCCTGTCCAAGACTGAGTGTCCCCACATCCTTTGGGGCCAAGGGGCAAGAGTGGGGGGCTGCCTGCATCTCCTGCCTGCTCCTCCACTCCTGCCTGTTTCCTGTTTCACTCTGTGGGAAGCAGCTAGAGCAGAATATCTCCAATGGGCCCAGCCTGGCTGGGAGCTGCAGCAAAGGTCATGGCTGTGGGTCTGCGAGCCCACCCTGCCCCACTGCTGCCTGTGCTGCTGCCTGGCCCCAGCACGGGGGAAGCTCTGCGTGCCCCATCCTCGGCAGCAGCGCTGGCGCCAGCGTGGCCTCCCTTATCTCGGCGGGAAGTCAGGAGCAGGAAGCCTGGCCCGGCGCGGGATAAGGGTCCCGTTTACATTAGCTCCTTTGTTGTGGAGCAGGCTCCCACCCTCACCCACTGCCCGCGGGGGGGCCCCGGCCAGCTCAGGATCTGAGGGGCAACAGAAACTCTTGTCCAAAATGCCACGAGGGGCTTAGGTGGTCCTTGCAATGGTCCCTGTGAGGACATGAATAGGGATGGGGTCTGCCAAGACAGTGCCTTGTGGTGTCCCCCTGCCCAGATCAGCTCTCAGCTGGACCCTGCCCTGTGCTTGTGCTCTGGTGTCTGTGGTGCTTTTTGGGCTCCTGGCTGCCTTGGTAGCACGGTGCTGGGCATCCCTGACCACTGCAGCCCACGCATCTTGTGCCATGTCCTGGTGTGGTAGCCCTGATGTGCTGGCCCTGGCGGTGGCTCAGCCCCAGGGCTGGCTGGGATGAGGGAAATCAATGAATTCCCCAAACGGGAAGGTCCGGGGGAGGGGAGAGCGCAGGAAAAAGTGCAGGCAGTGACGCGTGACGGGCAGAGCAGTGCCGGCCGCCCCGAGAGCACAGCCCCATGCAGTGCCCTGGAGCCTCTCACCCACCTCCACCACCCACCGTGAGTGAGCCCCTCTTCTGCAGGGACCCCTTCCCCAGCCCCATGGCAGACAGGGGGTGAGGGGGGAGCGGGTGAGTGCTGTGGGCAGGAGCACAGGCAGGTTCCCCAGCAGTGAGGGTTGGTTTTGGGCTCGTGTCTGGTGTGACCTTGGGGATGCCAGCACCGTGCCCTCGTGGTGGGGATGCCAGCAGCAAATCCAGGCAAAGCAGTCTTGCCAGGGATCTGGGTGGACACAGGAAGATGCACAGGGACCCCATTGGAGCCACAGCCCTCTGAGGGCGCGGGGGGTGATGCCTGTCTCCATCCTGCAGGTGGTCCCCACGACCACGGCATGTTCCGTTCGCGCCGCGCCGGGCTGGTGCGGAGGCTGTGGCGGCAGCGCTGTGCAGCAGCCAGCCCCGAGGATGGCCCCGCTGCCCTCAAGCCAGCGGTGCATGCCCTCTTCAAGAAGCTGAAGGATGAGGAGCTGGAGCTGCTGGTGCAGGTGGTGGAGAGCCGGGGCGCCTGGGAGTCCGGCTGCGTTCTGGCACCACGGGGGGACCCACGAGGGGTCAAGCAGGGGCTCCCCCCTCAAGTCCTGCTCTGTCGCCTCTTCCGCTGGCCTGACCTCCACCAGTCCCATGAGCTCAAGCACCTCTGCTACTGTGCTGGGGGCCAGGGAGCCTGCGGGGACTTGGCTGGGCTGTGCTGCAACCCCCATCACTTCAGCCGCCTGGCTGTACCCGGTGAGTGCTGGCGGCGACACTGGAGGCTGCCTCGTCCAGCCAGGCTCTGACCCCTGCTCTCTGGGGCTGCCTCAGGGCTCCAGTGGGCTCCAGGGGGGCAGGATGCCCTCCCAGCCTCCTATTTCCCTCTCTCTCCTCTGCAGAAACTCCGCCACCCCCGTACTTGAAGGCGTCCTGTGGTCCCTCCTGGCCAGATGAGCCCCAGCTCATGGAGTTCAGCTATGACGGAGGGGACTGGTGCGGTAAGATGGGCCCGGCACACTGGGAGACACACAGGGCACAGCCCTCTGCCACACCCAGCAGGCAGGAGGGCACTGGGCAGGGCTGAACCCCTGAGTCAGGAGCGGAGATTGGAGGGGACAGAACATGAAAATCAGGGAATGGAGCCAGCAGTCAGTCCCAGCAGGAGGAAAAGACTCCGACGGGGGATGAGGGGTTCCTGCTAGGGGAGCGCTCTGGCCCAGACGCCCCCCCGCCACTGAAGCCGCTGTTATTTTTGGCAGCGCCAGGCTCCCTGCTGGAGGAAGCGCTGCCTATGGGGACACACACAATGTGCCTTGACGCACACAGCCCCAGCTCCCGCCTGGCTGCTGGCCACCAAGGCCACCAGCTGCCGCTGCCCCACCTTCCCCTGCACTCAGGGACCAACCCCCCTGACAGCCCTCCCCCAGCCCTTCACCACGGCACTGGGGGACTGGGCACAGCTCCAGAGGCTCACACCCAGCGCAGGACTCTGCGCTGAGGCATCCCTGGTGCACCACATCCATCTATCTGTCCTCACACGCCCTCTGTGCCCACTCCCCTTGGCCCTTCCAGCTGCTTGCCTCAGTCACATCCTGCTGATGACAGCTCTGCTCTCCCCTTGCCAGACACCAGTCTCTCATGGAGCACCATCACGGACGGCTGCTGGTGCAAACTGGCTTACTGGGAGTACCGGACGCGCGTGGGCCGCCTGTACGCCGTGCACGAGGCATCGGTGAACGTTTTCTGCGAGCTGCCCTGGGGCAGCGGCTTCTGCCTGGCACAGCTGCCCGCTGCCTACCGCAGCTGCGCCGTGCGCCGGGCACGGGGCAAGATCGGCCGGGGGCTGCAGCTGAGCCAGGAGCCGGGCGGGGTGTGGGCCTACAACCGCAGCGAGCACCCCATCTTCGTCAGCTCGCCCACCCTGAGCCCCCCCGGGCTGCCTGTCCTCAAGGTGCTGCCCGGCTACTCGGCAAAGGTGTTCGATTATGAGCGGGCAGGGGGCACAGGGGGCTGGCAGCTGCCTGGGGAGGGGCCCTGTGACCCCCACAGTATCCGCATCAGCTTTGCCAAGGGTTGGGGACCCTGCTACTCTCGGCAGTTCATCACCTCGTGCCCGTGCTGGCTCGAGGTGCTGCTGAACCAGCCACGCTGAGGGTGGAGCTGGTGGGGAGGTGCCAGGGAGGTCCCCCAAAGCAGGTTCACAAGCTGGGGGGCCCTTCTACTGTTCCTCAGCCTGTGTCTTCCGGGGCTGTGTTGCAGCAGGATTGTCCTGGCTCTGGGGACTCTGTGCCTCAGTGCTGACTGGATGCAATGCCCCTCTTGCAGGGTTCACCACCTTGCCAGCACCTGCTTCCCCCAGCCATGGGGCTCTCAGTGACACAGGACACTATTTAATATATTTTTATTATTATTATTATTATTTTAATGTTTAAGTTTATATTAATTTATCTATTTTTGTATAAAAAGCAGAGCATGAGGCAGGAGTCCCCATTGTCAGGGCCAGGCCTGGGGGTGGCAGCTAGGGCTGGTGGAGACAGGGGGAGCAGGAGAGAAGGGAGGTGAGAGGGAATGGGGAGGAAGGGGAAGCTGTGGGCCTAGGTGTAACTGCAGACAAGGGGAATGGGAGTGAACTACTACAGCTGGGGGGGGAGGTGAGGCCGGTGAGCACAGCTGGAGCGAGGGGCAGGTTAGAACATCTGGGTAGGTGCAGGGCAGGTTAGAACATCTGGATAAGTGTGGGGCAGGTTAGAACATCTGGATAGGTATTGCATAGGTTAGAACATCTGGATAGGTGCAGGGCAGGTTAGAACATCTGGATATGTGTGAGGCAGATTAAAACATCTGGATAGGTGCAGGGCAGGTTGGAACATCTGGAAAGGTATTGCATAGGTTAGAACATCCGGATAGGTGTGGGGTAAGGTTGGAACATCTGGGTAGGTGCAGGGCAGGTGCAATGGGGGGGACAGGTGAACACCCCTGGGGTGGGGACAGGTTCAGGGTTACCCAAGCTAGGTCCCAGGCCCGGGGGCTCCTTCAACCGTTCTGGCAGCATGCGGGGAGCCCCGAGCAAGCGCAGCCGAGGGGATCCCGGATTGCCCGAGTCGTGTCTGCTGTTTTTAACCTAAATAAACGGTGCCCCCGGCACCAAGAGACCCCCGTGTCCCTCCGCGTATCGGTGCCGCCCACGGGGCTCGGCTCCGGGAGCCAGCAGTGCCCTCTGCAGGCCGCTGCCGCGGGCCGCGATGACCACCCGGTCCTTCCTGCCACGCCGCCGGCCCGGCTGAGCCCGCGGCCCCCGCCCGGCCCCGCTCCTGGCCCCGCCGAGAGAGGTGAGTGCGACCGCACCGTCGGCATCGCCTCGGGGGAAGCGGGGACAGAGAATCCCCGGGAGCACAGCCGCGGGCAGCGGCGGAGCGCAGCGGCGATGGCGAACCGTGGCCCGAGGGGACGGGCGGGGAGCGATGGAGTCGGGGGTCGGTGGCAGCCGCGGCGAGGGTGAGGTTGTTCTGCGGGTTCCCCTCTCTGCCCCGCGGAAGCCCCGAGCCTGGCGGGCTGGTACCCCGGACGGGGATGCAGGTGCACGGTCAGAGGGACGGAGCCGGAGGGAGCCAAGCGGGTGGCTGGGCGAGGCGCGGCCGCAGGTGCCCGGTACCGGGGCCTGGCGAGGGGGTGGGGGTCCCGTTCTCGGCCCCGGCTCGGTGCCCCGGCGCGGCCCCCCCGCCCACTGACATAACGTCTGCGCGGGGCCGTGTTTGCCTTGGCAGCCCCGGAGCGGCGGTGGCTCCTCACACTTTCCGCTAGCGCCGGGCAGTGGCCGCGCTCGGAGCCAGGCGCGGGGGGGCCGGGGTGAGCCGAGGTGAGCCCCGGGGCCGCCGCTGCCTCCCTGTGAGCCGGCAGCGGCCAAACAGGTTGCGCGGGGCCCGCGCCCAGGCACCTGCGGAGGAGCCACCCCGCTGGGGGCCGCCGCGTCCCGCTCCAGCGCCTCCGACAACCGGGGGCTGCTCCCCGCGCCGCGCCCCGCCGTGCCACGTTCTCCGTGTCCACCTCTCCATCCCTCCGTGCCCGCCACTCCAGTATCCCGGTGTCCGCTCCTCGGTGCCCGGTTCCCGAGCTCGGTTCTCCATCCCCCGTACCTCACCCTACGCACGGTTTCCCGTGCCCGGCACTCGAAACTCTCCCTCGGTGCGCACTTCTCGGTTCTTACCCCCCCCTCCACCTCCATGCCCGGTTCCCCGCCCCCCCGTGTCCGCGGGGCGGAGCGGGCAGTGCCGTGCCGGCCCCGGCACTCGGCGGCCGCAGCGGGCGGGGCGCGCTCGGCGCCTGGCACCGCACTCGGCGCCGGTGGGGGCCGCGGCGGGGCCGTCCCGTGCTCTCCTGCCCGGGCCGGGGCCCGACCCCCGCCCGATCTCGTTAACTGCCTCTGACTCAGCCGCCCCCCACCCGCGCGCCCCGGTCCCGCGGGCCCGCAAGACCCCCGCCCTCCCGAGGGGGGTGGGGCGGGGCTGATGGGCGGGGCGTTCCACCAATGGGACGCGTGACCGCCGGCGCGCTGCCCAATGAGGAGGCGGGGGCGGGCGCTTCCTGGAGCCCCGGCGGCGGCGGCGGCGGCGGCGGCGGCGGCAGCAGTGGCCGGGGGGCGGGCGGGGCGCGGCGGCGGCAGGTGAAGGCGGAGGCGGGGCCGTGGCTCCGGGACCGGTCTGTGGCTCGGGCGGGGTGCGCAGGTGAGCGGCACTGGGTGGGAGCGGACGGACCCACCGGCGGGGGTTGCGCGGAGGTACCGACCCACCGGCAGCGCGATCGGGATCGGGACGGGGACCGGCGCGGCGACCGCTTTTTGCCGCCCGGTTGCGGTGAGTCGCGCTGATTCGGGATGCTGCGGGCAGCGGGTGGGCACGGTTGGCACGCGATCGCCGCACGGCCCCTGTGTCCCCGCCCGCCGCCGGAGCCGGTGGACACGTCGCCCGTGGGGCGGGGGGTGTCACTCGTGGGCTGTTCCCGGTCCCTGCGCACGGGGCTGCGGGAAATCGGTGACATCGGCAGGTCCCCGCTGCGTGCCGGGGCGGCTGCCAAGGCTCCGCTGTGCTCCTGTTGCGGTGCTGCTCCATCCAGCCAGGGTCCCCCGCAGGTCTCCCACGGGTGACCGGGTGCTGCCACCCCCCCTTCCCAACCCGGTGAGCAGCTTGGCGGCATGCCTGGCGCACCGGGTGGGGACGGCACCGTTGCAGGAGGAAGGCAACTCAAGGAGTCCCTTCTGCACCCATACTGGTAGAGTTGGAAGGTATCCCAGTGTCCCAGCACGCTGTGCCACGCTGGTGAGCCCCGGCCCTGGCGCACTGGCAGCAGCAGTGGGTGCCTCTGCTCGGCTGTGCAGTGGTGGTCCCCCGGGATCGGTGTCATGGTAGCACCTGCCAAGCACCGGTGGACTCTGCCCCGTGTGCCCAGCCCTGCCGTACCTGTCCTCGTCCCCCTGGCTGGCTGCCCCCGGCCGCTGTTTGCCCGGGGCGGGGTGCGGTATTTACCCTCCCGCCGGAGCAGATCCACGTCTTGGGCCACAGCCGCCCTCGATCCGTGCCTGCCTTCACTTGCCGAGGGGACACAGCGCCGGTTTTGTCGCGGGGTGAGTCGCACCGTGCCTCAGTTTCCCCCACCACAGCCGGGCTGGCAGGAGCGGGGTCAGCCTGGGATCCCCGGCACTACCGGGGGCACTGCCGGGGGCACTGCCGGGAGCACGCGGCAGCTGCCGCCGCTCAAGGCTTCGGTGGTGATGCTGGTGCTGGGAGGGAGGGACTGAGCTCGGCAACTTAAAAGTGGGCGCATGGAGAAGGGGAAACTGGCACAGCAGAGAGAGCGGGGCTAGGGGTGTCTGTGCCGGGCATGGGTGCGGAGGTGCCAGCTGTGTGTTGGGGGGCACATCCGTGTCGGCTCCTGGGGACCCCCCGAGCCCCCCTGGCTGGGCGCGGGCTGCCCCCAGCGCTGCGGGGCTGAGCCCCAGGCTGTGGCAGCGCGGCTCTGCCAGCTGCTGCCGTGCACCCTCAGTGCACACGTGGCACGAACGGGACAGGCCCGAGCACACGGGGGCGGGAGGGGCACGGCGGGGCTGCGGCCCCAGCGCGGCCCCCGCTGCACCCCAGCCCTCGGGGGGCGGCTGCTGCCCCGTGCGTGAAGCAGGAACTTCTCCTTCAGGGCAGGCGGTGGATGATGAAACCAGGGAGAAATCTCTCCTGGCAGCAGTGTGGGCTGCTGGCGGGAGCCCCCGGGAGCCTGCGCTCCCCCTGCGCCACCAGCGCTGCCTTCCCATGGTAACTCCACGGCGGGAGCAGGCAGGGTGCCGGTGGGAGCGGCCGCCCCGTCTGGAGGATTGGCGCCCGCCTGGCTCCCCGTGGCAGCACCGGCGTCCCTGACATGCCCCGGGAGCTGCATGTCCACACCCCAGCAAAGCCCCAGGGCGGTCAGAGGACCCGCTGAGGGGCTGGGCTGAGACCCGTCAAACTCGCTTCGTGCCAGGAAGATGGCGCTTGGGTAGCCATGCAGGCAGGGGAGGGAGGCGGTGATGCCGGGGCTGTGGCCGGTGACCTTCAGTGCACCCGGGCATGCCGTGTGCCCGGGGCTGGGCAGGTCGGTTGGCATGCAGGATGGTGCGGTGGGAGCCATGGTGATTTGTATCCCCAGAGCTTCTGGCATGGTTTGATGGAGCCCTGGGCAGGCAGGGGGACCAGCCTGGGTGAGGGAAAATGAAAGCAGGTGATGCGGAAGGAGAAGTAGGTCAGGCGAGCTCTGGCCTCTCCCGGCAGCCTCGGTTGCACTGCGTGCTCCTCTCTGCCCAGCTGTCTCTGCCGTGTCCCCAGGCCCCGTGGGCAGCAGCTGGGGTGGGGAGTGGGTAAGGGGGTCCTGCTGCCAGGCTCGGGGTCCCGAGCACGGTGGGTGCCAGGCACTGCCGACACTGAACGCCAGCAGGGTGGAGAATGTGGCTGTGCTGGCTGACATTCATTGGGTACAGAGACACCCCAGCAGTTTTGCTTTGATTCCCCTCCCCTGGGCAACCATCAGGGCACAGGGCTTGGAGCCATAGCAAGGGTGACAGGAGCATTGCCAGCCCCACTGCAGGACCAAGGAAGAGAAGGGAGGAGACCCTTGTGCCCTGCTTCGGTGGCACAGGGCAGCTGGTGCGGTGTGGACATCACGGCGGGCCCTGGGGCTCCACAGAGGGGCTCCACAGAGGCTGCCCTGTGCAGCCCTGGGCATTGCCCTCCCTCACTGCAGGGCTGCCTGGGGTCTCCTCGGTGCCACTCTGTGGGTTGTGGCGGGCACGGCCTGGCTGTCAGTGCTCTGTGGGCTCGGGGGGGCTGGGGCTGGGGGGGATTAGAATCTCCTGCCCCCCTTCCCTCCCCGGGATCAGCCGTGGGCAGCGGGGAGCTGGCAGCAGGCAGCTGCCGTGGGGGCGGAAGCCGGGCTATTTTGGAGGGTGTGGAGGGGGGGCTGTGGGCTGGCACTGTCCTTGCCAGGTGACCCCACCGGGAGCAGCGCCACCCTGGTGCCAGCATGGAGCGCTGGGGGCACAGCCTGTGCCACTGGGGATGCTCAGTCCCCGGGGTGCTGTGAGGACATGAACCCTGCATGTTGAGTAGGAGGTGCCACCAGCTGGGGGGGCCCCTGGGGGCTGTGCAGCACAGTGGGACCCAGGGGGTCTGGCTGCCCTCCAAGGGGTTCCCGTGACTGTGCTGCGGGGCCAGCAGCTCCAGAGCCAGCTCACCCTGGGGCCAGCCAGCAGGCCCACTGGTAGGTGAGCCTGTCCCAGGCTGGTGGCTGGCAGAGCCTTCCTTCCTTCCTTCCTTCCTTCCTTCCTTCCTTCCTTCCTTCCTTCCTTCCTTCCTTCCTTCCTTCCTTCCTTCCTTCCACCAGTGCCTCAGCCATTTCCTTGCCACATTGGGAAGGCCAGAGGTGACACACAGAGGCCACATGCCCTTGGCCACATCTGTCCTGGCAGGTCAGGGTGCTGCTGCTCTGTGTGAGGATGTGATGCAGGAGATGGGGTTGCCCATCCTGCCATTGGAAGAGGAGCTGGGATGAGGCCATGTCCCCTCACTGGTGACACTGCTCAGGGTGCCACTGGGCAAGGGATGGATGGATGGATGGATGGATGGACGGACTCACAGAGGTTAGCCCATCTTCCCCAAAGGCCAGCACCTCCCCACCTGCCCCCCCAGCCCAGTGCCCCCCAGCCAGGGCGAGCAGCAGTTTGTGGCCAGCGCCCGGGTGGTTGCAACACCCCCAGGGTGGGGGGGCCACGGTGACTCACCCCATCCTGGCCACCAGCAGGAACCCTGACTCAGGGCTGCGTGCCCATGCCGTGCCGTGCCCCTCCCTGCCCGCCTCGCCCACCTTATCTCCCGCCCTTAGCACCTGGCACACCTGGGCCAGGGGGGACTGGCGCCATTCCCCTCCTTTATGGGGAACAAAGGGCAGGGGAAGGGTTGGCAGCAGGTGCCACAGCCCTCCTCCTTCCCTCCTGTCCTCCCTCCCTCTCATGGACGCTGTCCAGGGCTGTGCCCTGCTTTGTGCCCCCCTCTGGGGCAGCCTGGAGTGTTGTGGCAGTGCAGAGGGCAGTGCTGCCCACAGCCCTGTGCTGGCTGCGTGCTGCCTGCGCTCCACAGCTGGAACCTGCCCAGCACAAGGATGGCACAGTGGGATACCATGGAGGGCACACTGCTGATGCCCTCTGCCTGTCTCCACTGCCTGCCCAGGGGCTCTTGCACAACCCAGCTCCTTCCGTCAGCGCTGCTGGGGCTGAGCCCTTTGCTGTCCCCCTGCTTTGCTGTGGGGCTCTTCCCCTTTCTGCCTGGCCTGCTGCACGCATCCCCAGCTCTGGGGCCTGCTGGGCCATGCCAGGGTGCCACAGTGCCGGTGCCCCTGACCGGTCTGGCGTGGGTTGCCTGGGCGGGTGCCGGTGCTGGTGGTGGGGTGTGGGGCGAGCTCTCTGGGCTGCTAATTGCTGTTTAGCTGGGGACACCGAGGGTGTAATTATGGGGGCATTGCATGAATGTGCAGCCTGGCCCGGGGAGCCCACGAGTGCCCCTGCCCAGGGAGCGCAGGGGGTCAGGCAGCATAGCCCAGCTGGGCTGTCACTGCTCCCCACATTCCCCGTGGGGATCTCGGGAACCTGCTCCAAGGGGAGAGCAGGACAGGAATCCATAGGGCCGGGGGGTGGCTCCAGGGCTGGCCGGGCAGGCTGCAGCATGCTGCACCCAGCCCTGCCCTGCTGCCGCCGAGCACAGGCGCCCTGGCAGCCCGGCTGGGCTGGCCATGGCCAGTGGCGAGCACCCAGCGCCCTGCCTTGGGGCACACGAGGAGGTGAGGAGGGCCTGGCTGATGTGCCACGGCACGGGGGGGCAGGGGCAGACGGCTTGGAGACCTTGTTAGAGGTGGGGAAGGCGTGTTTAAGGTACGGGTGCCTGTCCTGGAGGCGCTGGGGATTTTCTCCCGTGGGAGTGGGCCGGGGTGCCCCCTGCCCCGTTCCGGGTTGGCGCCCCACGGCGCAGCAGCGCCGGCCGCAAAGAGTTAATGCCGTGTGTGTTCTGGGAAGCGGGGCTGGGAGGTGCGTGACCCGGGGTGTGGGCGTCGACTCCTTTTGAGGTGGGATCCTGAGCTCAAGTGCAGCGGGGAGCGGGGCCAAGTTCACACAGCACCAGCACCCTGCCTTCCCCTCCCTGCCACTCGCGGGCCGCCAGCGGGGCCGCCACGAGCGCGGAGCCACGCCGGGACACGGGGCAGGTGAGCCACGCACCCACCCTGCCATCACTGCTGCTGGGCTGGATGCCAGGGTGGTGGGGACCCGGTGTGGCACTGGGAGATCTGGGCCAGCTGCCTCGCACCAGCAGGCTGTGGGACGCTGGTGTTGCCTGAGCCCTACGCTGCCCTCACTGCTGATGGGATGGGGTGGGATGGGACGAGTGGCGAGATCTGGGTCACTTTGGTTTGGCAGAGCAGGGCCCACACCCTAGAGTGGCAATGCCAGGCAGCTGGATGTGGCAGTGGGGTGGTTTTGGAGGCAGGAGGGGACCAGGATGCCAGCACAGTGCCAGCAGGCTGGGTGGGTGAGATGGGGACTTTGCTCCTCTTTCCCTGCTACACATGCCAGGAACAGCTCTGGCAACACCACCGGCCCTGCTGCACCGTGGCAGGGATGCCCTGTGCCCAGCTTCCGTGGCAGCTGCCGTGCCAGGCTGGCACTGGCCCCAGGTGCAGTGCTGGCTGGGCACTGAGGCAGCCCTGTGCCAGGGTGCTCAGCCCCCTCTCAGTGCTGGTGGCTGTCCCTGGGAGCTCTGGGTGAGCTGGCCAGTGTCGGGGGGCCTGAGCAGTGCCATGGGGCTCACTCTCAGCGCTATGGGGTGGGGGACTGTTTATCCTCTTTCATCTCCAAACCATTTCCTTTTGTCTCTACTTGTTCTTTTCTTCTTTCAAAGAGCACTGCTGCTCTCCCCACTTCCTCCAGCATTGGGACCCTCAGCATGTGCTGCTACAGGGTCACCAGCTGAGCCAGACCCCGGCCACCACCTTCCCTGCTGGGCAGACAGAGGGGCTGCACAGCCCTACACCACCCTCCATCCACACCGTGGCCATCAGCACCAGGGCCACTGCTGCTCCCAGTTGGCTCCAGGCAGCAGCAGGGTGGGGGGCTTGCACAGCCCAGACCCCTGGGTCCACGTCCTGGATCCCAAAGGGTGAAGGGCCCCACAGGGTGAGGGGCCAGGGCAGCTCCACGCTGCGCTCCCCTTCCGGGGTGACTCATTCTCCCCATGGGGCTGTGAAGTCCCTCGACAGCATTTGTGACTCTTGGGACCGAAAGCAGGGGCTCCTGGCAGCAGCCCAGGGTGGGGACGGTGCTCCCTGGGACCTCTGCTCTCCTTCTCTCCTTCCCCATGTTGGGAGATCCCCCCTGGACACCCCTTTCCACCTCCCACCGTCCCCAAGCCAGGCCCAGTGCATTGTGCCCTCACCCAGGTGCCATCCCTGCTTGGTGGCATGGCACACAAGCAGGAGGGGCACTGCAGGGACCCCAGCCCGCTGCCCATGGCCCTGCCTGGGTGCCTGGACCCCTCTCACAGAGGAGCTGGCACATGGGTGGAGCCTGGCCATGGTTGTCCCAGGCAGCCTGGGCTGGCACAGGGATGTCAGGGTGACCTGGGCAGACATTGTTCCTGCTGCCACCCGCCCTGCATGGCAGCCAGCTCAGCACGGGGAGCAACTCCCCCTTTCCTTTCCTCAGTTCAGCCAAAATGTGCCCAGCCACAGCGCTGAGGTGACTGAAGGAGCTCTGGCATGGCCAGGCCATGGGCATCACCACCTGTGCCCTCCCGGCCATCACCTCCAGCAGCAGCCTGGGAATGCTGGGGGCCCAGGGGGCGGCTCCTGTCCCCTCACACCTCATCCTCTGCCATTTCCTTATCACTGCGGTGATCTCCTCGACGGCAGCAGCCGCTCAGCATGTGACTTCTTCGCTCCAGTGAGGAGGATGTGCGCGGGGGTGGGGGTGTCAGCAAAGGAGCCGTAAAGGGGCGGTTTGGGGCGATGGAAAATCCCCCTTCTGCCCGCCCGCCGCCGCCTCGCCCCCAGCCTGCCCCACAGCCCTGCAGCTCTGTCTGGTGGCACCGAGTCCCGTGGGGTCCCAGCTGCCTTAACAGAGCTCTGCTGGTGATTTCTGTGACATTGGCAGCGCTGAGGCTGTGTCCATCTGCGCTGGGACATGGTGAGGGCAGTGCCTGTCCCTCACAGCACCGTGCCACCTGCTGGGATGTGATGGGGTCTCAGCTGCTGTCCTGTGCCCAGACACCCCCAGTGGGTGCCATCAGTCTTGTAAATGCCCTGTGCCCAGGTTTCTCGTGGGGACCAGGGCAGAAGGGAGGCTGTCCTGGTGCCATCACTGGGGGAGGCAGTGTTGGAGGACACAGTGCCACCCCATCCTGTGACGATTCCCTGTGACAGTCCTGGGGGTCCGTGGGGCTCTGGCCCACCCACGGCAGGTGCCCCATCCCTGTCATCCCTCTCCAGCTGCCCAAGCTGTGGCATGGGATACTTACCCCCCTGCTTAATCCTGCCCCTGCAGCTAATCCTGCCTAATCCCACCGGGGGCTGTCACTGCCTGTTGGCTCCGGGGGCCCTGATGGTTTAATCACCCCTAATCCGATCACCCCCACCTCGGCAGGCAGAGGGGACCTCAACCAGAGCCGGGATGGGCTCCTGCCAGCCAGGGGGGCTTGGCCGTGGCTGCTGGCGCCAGCATCCCAGGCGGTCGGCACTGCTGGCTCCCGGTTTCAGGGGCGGCTGCCGCCTGCCCTGCCGGTCGGGCCTGCTCGGCAGCGGCTGGGGCGGCTCCGCAGCCGGTTGCTCCGGGGCCGTTCCCAGCTGCCTGCCGAGGCAGCCCCAGCTGGCGGCCGCCCAAGCGCAGGGAGCGGCCGGCTTGGGGATGGGCCCCTGCGCCGGGGGCCGTCGCCCGCGCCGCCCCTCCATGGGCAAGAGGGGGCACGTCCCCCACGCCCGCCTGCCGACGGCACAGTGTGGTTTGGCACGGCCCGGTGGGCCTGGTGTGGCTCGGCGTTGCCTGGCATGGCTGGCAATGGCCGGTGCCACATGCTGCTGTCCACCATGGCACAACTCGAGAGGTGGTACCCGCCTCTGCCAGGCTGCAGTTGCTGGGCTCCCATTCCACTGTCACCCAGCAGTGCCAGCACAGTGTGGTTTGGCACGGCCTGGTGGGTTTGGGGTGGATGGGCCTGACATGGTTCAGCGTTGCCTGGCATGGCTTGGCCATGCCCAGTGCCACATGCCGCTATCACTCAGCACTGCCTGGCTGGCTGCAAGGGCCATAGCTGGGCACAGTGTCACAGGGCAGGTTGCAGCCCTGGAGCTGCCGCTGCTGCCTGCAGGTTGTGAGGGTCATGGGCTCCCCCTTCCCACCTGTGCTGGCTACACGGCCCAGAGCTGGGCATGGTATCTATCACAGGGCAGGTTGCAGCCCCGGAGCTGCCACTGCTGCCTGCAGCCTGCCTGCAGGTTGTGAGGGTCGTGGGCTCCCCTTTCCCACCTGTGCTGGCCGCACAGGAGCACGTGTGTCCCTGGTGGTGCACCACGGGCACCACAGTGGGAGTGTGAGCCGTGCTGGGTTTAGCGCCGAGGCCAAGCTCTGCCAGCTGCAGCGTGGGAAAGGCCTGACTGGCGCAGGCTGGGCTTGGCTGGGCGAGGAGTGGCCCCGGGCTGGGGCACAGGGGGGAGGGAGGGAGGGAGGGAGGGGGCCCAGTCCCGACCAGGAGCGGGGGCAGGAACCGGTGGCACAGGTGCTGATCCTAATCTGCCGTGGCAGGAAGTGTGGCCCCTGTTCCCAGCCCAGCTGGGCTCCACGGGGCGGCCCCCTGGCCCTCGGGCTGCTCTTCCCAGCGCTCGCCCGCCCACCATGCCTCTGCCAGCGAGGCCCGTGTTCCCAGGACGGGGCTGCTGGGAGCCAGAGGCTGTGCTGGGCCGTGGCGGTGGGCTGGGGGGGATTGTGGGTGGGCTGGCACAGGAAACGCTGCACCTCGCTGCTGTTCAAAGGCACCACGCTGAGATTTCTCCCTTTGCTGTGGCGGCGCGGGCGGCTGGGTGCTGGTGGTAGTGGAGGAAGCGTGGAGGCCTGTGGTGGGGGGCCTGTGGTGGGGGGCCCACACCCACCAACCTCTGCACAGCATGGAGGGAACTGAGCACAGACCCTGGGCCCCAAACCTGCCCCAGTTCATGTCCCACTGAAACCCCAGTGCCACCCAGCATGTACAGGCAGCGTTGTGCCCTGGCTTCATGGCAGCGATGCTCCAACTGCAGTTTCTTCCAAGTGCTCTCTCCCAGCTTGTTCCTCTGTCAGTACAGGCAGCGTTCCTTGTGCCCTGGCTTCATGGCAGCAACACTCCAGCTGCAGTGTTTCTTCCAAGCGCTCTCCCAGCTTGTTCCTCTGTCAGTCAAGCAGCATCCTGTCCTTCCCGCAGGTGAGGACGATGGCCAGCCCAGAGGACGACCTCATCGGCATCCCCTTCCCTGAGCACAGCAGCGAGCTGCTGAGCTGCCTGAACGAGCAGCGGCAGCTGGGGCTGCTCTGCGATGTCACCATCAAGACGCAGGGGCTGGAGTACCGCACCCACCGTGCCGTCCTGGCTGCTTCCAGCCGCTATTTCAAGAAGCTCTTTGCCGGGCCGGGGCCGGGCCAGGAGGTCTGCGAGCTGGACTTTGTGGGGCCGGAGGCACTGGGAGCGCTGCTGGAATTCGCGTACACGGCCACGCTGACCATCAGCAGCGCCAACATGGGCGAGGTGCTGCGCGCTGCCCGGCTGCTGGAGATCCCCTGTGTCATCGCTGCCTGCGTGGAGATCCTGCAGGGCAGCGGCCTGGAGGCGCCCGGCCCCGATGACGGCGACTGCGAACGCGCCCGCCGCTACCTGGAGGCTTTCTCCAGCCTCCCCGAGGGTGAGGTGCCTGCCCCGCCGCCCCCCCGCCCCACCCCGCGCCGCAGCAAGAAGACCCGCAAGTTCCTGCAAGCCCGCGGTGCCCAGCTCAACAACCACGCCGCCGAGGAGCCGCCGCCCGCAGCTGAGGCCGAAGGCTCCGGCAGCCCCCCGCCGCCCTCCCAGCTGCCCTCACCCCCTCTGCCCGAGGGGCTCTCCCTGCCCTACGACAGCTTTGAGCTGCCTGAGGAAGAGGAGCTGCCCCCACACTCCTTCCCCTTCCCTTACCAGCCCCCCTTGTCCCCTGAGGAGGCACCTTCTGACGAGGATGCCATCGACCCCGACCTGATGGCGTACCTGAGCTCGCTGCACCACGAGTCGCTGGCGCCCGGGCTGGACAGCCCCGACAAGCTGGTGAGGAAGAGGCGCTCGCAGATGCCCCAGGAGTGCCCTGTGTGCCACAAGGTCATTCACGGTGCTGGCAAGCTGCCCCGCCACATGCGCACGCACACGGGCGAGAAACCCTTCGCCTGCCAGGTCTGCGGGGTCCGGTTCACACGGTGAGTGCCCCTGGATGGGCTCTGCCTGCCTGAGGTGTGCCAAAGGGCATCCCCTATGGCACCTCCATCCCGTGCCAGTCCTACCAGAGGTTTTCTACATCCCCTGAGTGCTGCTGGACGGGCTTTCCCCATCTGACATGTGCCAAATGACATTCCCTATGGCACCCCCACCCTGTGCCAGTCCTACCAGGGCCTGGCCACAGGGTTCATGGGGTTTTCTGCATCCCCTGAGTGCTGCTGGACGGGCTCTGCCCGCCTGATGTGTGCCCTGTGACATCCCCTATGGCACCCCCACCTCATGCCAGTCTACCGGGGCCTGTCTGCAGGCCTGGCATAGTTCATGGGGTTTTCTGCATCCCTTGAATGCTGCCAGACCAAATTGATGGCACACTGCACAGCACCCCTCTGCCAGTGCTGCCAGTGGGGTGCACATTCAGAGCGTCTTCTGCACCCCGTTGAGTGCTCTGGAGCAACACAGGTACCCAGAGGCATCCGCCGTGGCACCCCCTGAATGTTCTGTTGTGGTGCAGTGGGGTTGTGGGGTCTTCTGCACCTCATGAGTGCTGCTGGGCTGACCTGAGGTACCCAGGAGCATCCCTGGTGGTGTTGCTCTGACATAGCTGCTGGTGAAGTCAGGTCAATGGGGTGTTCTGCACTCTGTGAGTGCTGCCAGATCACCCAAGGCACCCATAGCACCTCATCTCTCAGCCATGGCATGGTTGTGGTGCAGGTCCAGGGGAGTCTTCTGCACTATGTAAGCACTGGCAGAGCAACCTGGGGCAGCCAGCAGCATCCCCCTGCCAGCAGCCAGCTGCATCTCCTGAGGTACCCAGGAGCATCCCTGCTGCTGTCCCTCTGCTGTAGCTGCTGCTGAAGTCAGGTCAATGGGGTGTTCTGCACTCTGTGAGTGCTGCCAGATCACACAAGGCCTGATACCTGATGGCACCCATAGCACCTCATCTCTCATGGTTGTGGTGCAGGTCCAGGGGAGTCTTCTGCACAATGTAAGCACTGCCAGAGCATCCCGGGGCAGCATCCCCCCTGCCAGCAGCCCGCTGCATCTCAGCCATGCAGCCGTGCAATGGTCCTTGTGCCCCACAGAGCCTGCAGAGCCCTGAGCCCTGCAGAGCACCCAGAGCCCTGTGCCCCACAGAACATCCAGAGCCCTGTGCCCCACAGAGCATTCAGAGCCCTGTGCCCCACAGAACATCCAGAGCCCTGTGCCCCACAGAGCACCCAGAGCCCTGTGCTCCACAGAGCCTCCAGAGCCCTGTGCCCCACAGAGCCTGCAGAGCCCTGTGCCCCACAGAGCACCCACAACCCTGTGCCCCACAGAGCACCCAGAGCCCTGTGCCCCACAGAGCCTGCAGAGCCCTGAGCCCTGCAGAGCACCCAGAGCCCTGTGCCCCACAGAACATCCAGAGCCCTGTGCCCCACAGAGCACCCAGATCCCTGTGCCCACAGAGCACCCAGAGCCCTGTGCCCCACAGAGCAACCCTGCTCTCGGGATTCCAGCACCATTCCCCTCCCCCTGGTGGTTGGATGCCATGTTGGCTCCTCGACGCCAATGTCTCGCTGTCTGTCCCACCTCCAGGAACGACAAACTGAAGATCCACATGCGGAAGCACACGGGTGAGCGGCCCTACTCCTGCCAGCACTGCAGCGCCCGCTTCCTGCACAGCTACGACCTGAAGAACCACATGCACCTGCACACGGGCGCCCGGCCCTACGAGTGCTACCTCTGCCACAAGGCCTTCGCCAAGGACGACCACCTCCAGCGGCACCTGAAGGGCCAGAACTGCCTGGAGGTGCGGACGCGCCGCCGCCGCCGCGACGAGCCGGCCCCGCCGCCCACCGGGCCCGCAGGCCTCGACCTCTCCAACGGGCGCCTGGAGGGGCTGCGCCTCTCCATTGCCCGCTACTGGGCTCCAGGGCAGCCCGAGGAGGAGGAAGAGGAGCAGGAGGGTGAGGAAGGGCCGCAGCCCGACGGCACCGTGCCGGTGGAGACGGCGTAGGGGCGATGCGACGGCGGCAGGTGTCGTGGCGTTCCATGCCGAGCTGTGCCGTGCCCGCTGGGGTTTCTGTTCCTGTTTTTCCCGTCACGGTTCATTCCTAGTTATGCAAAGGGGGAAAATCCCCTCGGCCGATTTGCACAAGGGGGTGGGGGGCCCCTATCACCCCCCCCACCACCGTGCCCGGGCCCACCTGGTCATGCCCAGGGCGGGTGATGATGGGGGATCGGGACTTGGATGTCCCCCCCACCAAACCCCTCGTGGGTGCCAGGACCGGGCAGGGGCATCCATGGACCAAGGCCCCCCCCCAGGTGGGGAGAGCCCCCCCATCCTCCCCAGTGGAGGGGGGCACTGCCCTACGCTGTGCATAGCTTGTCCCCACCTCCCCACTCCGAGCAGCCCCCCCCGGCGAGCCCCCCTCGCCCCTGCACTCCCGGCTGCTTTCTCTTGGTTGCACTATTCGGGTGAGCCCACCCGGGTGCGGGGCAGCCCCGGCCCCCCCCGGACCCTTTTCCCCTTCTGAAATCCCCCTGGCCCTGTGGGACCCCCTCCTTTTCCCTGGGGTGGCCGGGCCCCCACGGTCACCCCTCTGTCCTTTGCACATGGCCCCCGCAGGGCGCAGCCTCCCCGGGGGTGGAGGGGACCGGCACTATTTGTCTACAAATAAGAGTTTTATCTATATTTAAAAAAAGATGATGTAATATATTCCCCCCCACAGCCCCTCCGCTGCCAACCACCAGCGCTGCCCGGCCCCCACGTGTGCCATGGGGTGCCCGCAGGGGTGATGGGGCCGGGGGGGCTCTGCTCCCGTCATGGCTTTAAAGTGCCTTATGGTGAACTTGAACCTTTTTCGGCTACTTGAACCTCTCTGGTGTCAGGAACCAAACAAAAACCATGGGCGGGCGGCCCCCGCCCCGCCGCCGGGCCGCCTCTGCCTGTCTGTATGTCTGTGTTTTGTTTTTGTTTTTTTTTTTTTTTTTTTTTTTTTTTAAACGAAGGCTGCTTGGTAATAAACGGAGAAGCAGGGACTTCCCCCGCGTCCAGCTGTCTGTCCATTCTGCACATTCTGCATCTCTGCCCTGGAGCAGCTCGGGGCTGGGGGCACTGTGGGGCTGGGGACGGGGATGGGGAGTGGGTTGGGCACCGTGTGTGGGGAGGGGGACACCGAGGGGTGGGGGTCAGCATGGGGCTGGGGGCACCACAGGGGTGGGATTGGGGACACCATAAAGGCTGGAGACAGGGATGTGTAGGGGCTGGAGGCACAGTGGGCATGGAGATGATGATACCAAGGTGCTGGAGATGGGGCTGGGGGCATTGAGAGGCTGGGGTCACAGCAGGGATGGAGCTGGGGCAGCAAGGAGCTGGAGTATCACAAGGTCAGGATCATCATGGAATGGTGGATGCCAACTCAGAGTAGGAGGATTCAGGTGCCTTGAGGTCCAGGTGATTTATTCACCAGCCCTTCCCCACCCAGTAGCTCTCAGCTTCTGCTGCACTGGTGGGGCTGGCTCCAGGCACACCCCAGCACCTGGACCCGAGGTTTTGCTGCCCCCTGGCACTGTCCTGCTGTCACTGGGCCCTTGCCCTCTCTTTCACTGTTTTTGGCCTGCTGCTGGTAGCTGAAGTCTTCCTGGGAGATTGGAGTGCAGCGTTGGCATCCAGCATCCCCAGTGCTGGGGAGCACAGGGGGCATCGCCACCCCACAGCCAGCCCTCACCCGCAGAGCAGTCTGCTCTTGTTGACCCCACTGCTGCCCACATCCCTCTCCTCACTCTTTTCCACCTCCTCCAGCTGGGCTCACAGCTGGGCTCACAGCTGGGCAGCTGTTCTGGAGGGGACCCTCCAGCCCCTGATGTCCTTGATGCGCTGCAGCAGCCGCCGCCCTCACACAACCAGCTCCAGCCCTGCTGTCTCCTCATCACTGGAGTCCCTGCAGGGCACAGAGGGCAGGGCTGAGCTGCAGCCCCCCCTCCCACACCCCCTGCAGCCTCCCAGGCCCGGGTGGGCTCCCAGCACCCCTCTGCTCACAGCTCCTCATCCCCAGAGTCCGGGTAGCTCAGGGGGGCCATGCACACGGAGCGGATGTTGTCCAGGGTTCTGTAGCAGCCACTGCAATACAGCCCTGTGGAAAATGGGGATGTCAGGGGGGAATTTTCTGGGGAAGGGGTCCCCAGGCTGTGGGGGCTCCTGCCTTTGCAGCTGGGTGTGATGCAGGTGCTGAAACCCGGCTGCTCCACAGGTCAGGCAGCTGGATGCCCAGGAATTGGTGGGGGGCAGGAGACTTGTGGGCACAGGGTGATGCTCTGTGGGTCAATGCCATCCTGGGGGTCCTTGACACAGACCCTCAGAGATACCACTCATCTCTTCCATCCCACCAGGGCTAACTTACCTGTATCCACAAATCTGCTGCCATCCACATACAGTTTTTATCTGGTTCCTGTAAAGGTTCATCCCTTAAATCTTGGCATCTTGACTGCTCCACAATGTACAGCCAGTCACATTGAAAAGGTTCTTGCTTCTCAGTAGGGAGCAAAATGGCTTCATTTGAGGTTGATATCACACACATGACTACTCTTCCTGGTCCTTGGTATTTTGCCAGTCAGCTTAGAGAGATCCAGTGATGTCCCTCTGGATTCCGAACAGGCAGCAATGGCACATGGGACCAGCACAGTGAGTGATCATCCCAAAGTGAATTTTTGTGCCTCCTGCATCTTTAGGGTGCTGGCTGCTATGGCCCAGAAGCATGCTGACCATCCAGTTGTTGGAGAAGGAGCCCACTAGCCTTTGCCAGCTTCCAAGGAGCTGTGTCACACCCACAAAAGCTACTTGTTGCCTTTTCTACACACATCATGAAGGGTTTAGTTGTATCTGGAAGGCCTTAAGCCAGTGCTTCCATGAGCATCCTTTATGGTGTTAAAACTGGTGCAAATTGTCGGGGCCATTCCAGGAATTCTTCAGGACCTTTGATTGAAAAATAAAAAGGATTGGCTTTTAGTCCAAAATTTTGAACATGTATGGGGCAAAATCCTGCCACTAACAAAACTCCTGTTAGTTTTCTTTTAGTCCTAGGAGCTGTAATTTAGAATATCACTAATTTTTTCCTTCACCCAGAGCTCATTGTCCTTTTGGTACCTTAAAGCTAAGGTATTAATCTTACCTTTTTTTCTGGAAATTTCAGCAAGTCCCAAAAGTTCTGTAGGCTTTCAAACAGGTCACTCTCAAGCAGGTTTGTTCCTTGTCAGCCTCAATTAGGATGTTACCTACACACTGTAAAAGAACACTGTTACCTTTTTTCCATTGCTCTACTTCTTTTGCCAAAACCACCAAATAAAGTGGGCTTATTTTTGAATCCTTGAGGGAACACTGCATCCTTTCCCACTGCATCTTTCTTGCAGCCACATGATTCTCTCATTAATAGGCAAAGATTGTTTGGCTTTGCACATCTATTGGGATACAAGAGAAAATATCCTTTAAGGCCAAAACAGTAAAATAAGAGTTTGTTTCCAGCACTGAGGTTAACAAGCCATAGGGATTTGGTATGCTTGGGTGTATATCTGTGTGTGTTTGATTGACTGGTTGCTCTTAAACTTATATTAATCTGCACTCTCAAGAACGAGGCTTCTTTGAAACCTGGAGGAAGGCATCTAAAACTCAGATTGACATTGTCTCAGTATGCTAAATTGTAATAATGTGTTTGTCCATGGTTCCAGACCTTTTTGTGCTTCTGTCTTTATAGGATATTTATTTATTCTTAAGGGTTTAACTTTGGTTCTGAGCTTTTTCTCTTTGCTTTGCCTCATTTTCCATGGCCCATGCAGATCACTGCATTTCAAATGGCATCCAGAACATTTTCTCTAATGTCCTCTGATGGTTTACACACTAACAGGCAGATCTGAGCTTTCCAGCCTGTCTCAGGTGGAATGTGAAGCTCCATGGTATTCTCAGAAAAGATTTAAGGTTTTGTGCATTTAAGTTACAAAATACATCTCATCCCAGCAAGGGAAGGGGTCACTGATGGCATATATAGAAATGGATTAGTTGTTTTAGTGTCACCAACTATACATGCCATGGTAGGAGTGGTCACAAAGCTCATTTTCCTGCTGCCCCAACAATCTGTACTGGAACTTTCCTCAGCAGGCCCTTGCAGCCAGTTACTTCTGAAGATGTGGCTCCATTCCCCAGCCTTACTGGAACCAGAGTTGCAACTGGGCATGCCCTGATATTTTCCCCTGGTCCCCTTCCCTCACTGTCAAAATCCTCCACCACCATAACATTTACCCCTTATAATGACCCCTTCTGTCAACAGATGGCACAGTCAGGCAAAGACCCCCGAATCTCCACCCCATCCCTCTTCTTTCTCCTTCTCTAACACCATTCTTTTTTCTTCCACAGTAAAAAGGTTTGGCCCTTTAGTTACACTGCTCCCATCCACTGATTGATCAAGGTCCACTGCCCAGTTTTTCCTTGTGACTTACATGGAGATTAATCCCACTGATCAGTTAAACTAATGAATCTACATCTTTTGCAGAAGCAATATGAAAAAGGAACAACAGTGCAGTTGCCAATCCAGTAATTCCTTCTATCCATGCATCCATCCAAGCATCCATCTATCATTCATCCATCCATCCATCCATCCATCCATCCATCCATCCATCCATCATCCATCCATCCATCCATCCATCCATCCATCCATCCATCCCCCGTCCATCCATCCATCCATCCATCCATCCATCCATCCATCCATCCCTCCATCCATCCCTCCATCCCTCCATCCCTCCATCCATCCATGATTCCTTCCATCCATCCATCCATCCATCCATCCATCCATCCATCCATCCATCCATCCATCTTCAGGTGAATCCTCAGGTGCCAGTCACCTACTTTGATGCACTTCAAAGATCCACATCTCCCATAAACACCACAATCCAAAGCTGTGGATAAGGTATGGATTAGCTGTAGCCAGGGGCTGAAACTTCCTTTGTCTCTTCTTAGAGATCCAGAGCACGAATATTTACTGTGTGTGTGCCCTCTGGAAGGGCATCAAAACCTTCTTGCAAGTTAGTGGGCTGGTAGAGATGGCTGCTAGCTGCTTCTCAGAGCTTTGGACCATGAAGTTACAGCCTTGCAGAGCAATGTGAGAGTTGGAAAAGGAAGTCAGGACTTTGCAAGATGCAAAGGCAATCACACAAGATCTAATTAAACTCCAGCACAGTGGTGCTATGAGCAGCAATGCAGTGTAGAACAGCAACATGTGGTTGCACATATTGCTCACAAGCAAAGGCACAGATATGGGAAAAATAAGATTTCCATTTCCCAGTCGTATCCACAGGATCCTGAGGAATGGGATGGAAATATCTTG